AAGATGAATTTACAAAAAAAAGAATATATATACACCTACCTATTGTAATTAACCTTACTTAGTGTAATTAACCATGCCTACAGCAGTGATTGGCTCTCAAGGTAATTAGTCTTGACAGTGTGGGAAATTTACACTGTCGAGGAATATCGATCAATATTTATAATGGGAACTGGCGTTCTTTCACAGGTGATGAATGGGGTTTGGGGCTAAATTAGCCTGGCGCTTGGTGGCATTAGACAGGTGGCATTCTTATAAAGGTTAAATAACATACAAATTGAGTTGGGACTTACGAAAACTGGCGCTCTTAGCCAGGTGGCGCTGTTGTGGAGGTGGAGCGGTTAACAGGTTAGACTGTATATATATAGACAAACACACACAAATTTCATATTTAAGGTATGTTATATTAAAATGCTTTTGAAACTTCATCTTGTTGTTACAGTCTATGTTACTACATCTGATCATGCTGTATCTGCTGGCCATGAATCTTGACAATAGCCCTGCAGTGTAGTTTTCATTGCAAAAGACTCATTGTAAGGCTGTAATGTCCAAAGCACAGCACTCCTCCTTACAGCTTTATGTAGCCCACTTAGTGTACAAGGATGACCGTTTCCCACTGCCTGTGTCAACAGTTCAGTTTCACAAATCTATAGACACTGCATATGAAGTCTTGACCTGTATATCGTTTTATGGAATAATACCATGAATATGCATTTCATTTTTCAACTTCTTGAGGTATGCAACTGTTGAACTGAAGGTATGACTGATAACCTTATCTTGAACTCATACCTTGTTGGCTTTGTTTCCAGATGAAGATCCTTCTTGATTATGTTGCATACTGTTGTCTTGGACTCATGGACATCATTTCCATTGACATTTGTATGTGTAGATTATCAACTGTTACACTTTGCTTACCATGGCCTGCAGAATGATTTATTACAAGTCTCATTCTGGAAAGCCCTGGTGCCCGAAGTTGATTTATATTCCTTTGTTTTTCAATGCTGTTAGTGATACATTCGTCTATGGAATTTCAAGTCCTTGATATGAACACATCTCTATAATCTGAGCGTATCAATCAGTTTTCGATGGCATCACACTACCTAAATAATGCCAAGCAATGTCAATGTAGTTATAGTATGTTTCATGCCATTAACATTTTATTTTGACTGTGGTTATCACGTGATAAGCTGATTAGCATATCAAAAAGTGTTTTAATATAACATACTAAACCCTTAAGTCACTAAATCAAATATTTGAATTCCATATTTTTCTAAAATTACAGAGTTTGATGTACCATTTTGTTATCTTCCGACATACCAACAGCAATGTATTTATCAGAAGATCCTAGAGCACCAGTCATCTCAAACTCTACCTCACCTTCTCTGTAAATATAAATTAGAATTACACTACAGCTCTTGTCTCTGATGCAAAGTGATGGCATTCCAAAACAACTTTTCTTCTGAGATTCACAGTCACTGTACAAGTTTACTGAGGGCACTGGCTTTCTCTGTATGTATAAAAAAAAAAATGTTCAACATTATGACAATGAAATCACTATATATTTATAATATGCACCAAAATCAATGAAGAAATGTGATGAATGTATGTTTCAATCACACACACACACGCACACACAGTAACATTACTGTATATTTTAAAAAGTAGCAAAGCTAAATTGAATAGGTACACATTTAAATGCTTTTTGTTCATATGAAAGTAAAAGGCACTAACTACCTTTTTTGTTACTGAATTATACAATTTCTTTAGGCACAAGATTATACATATATATAGACTTTGCATAACTTAATGCTGCATATAAAATTAAACTATAAAGTCATTTATCTAAAAGCATTAGAACAGTTGACTACCCCTGAATTAATAATGACAAAGTTTAAAAGCTTAATTTTGATCGAGACTTTCATGCACAACCTAATAGTAGATTATGTTTGAACATATTGTTAAAAATATCATGATATTTGGTTTCACAATTGAGAATAATCCATCAGCATAAACTTAAGTGTTTTCTTGCAAAATATATAATCACAAATATAATCCACAATTATATGCATCACAAAACTACACAGTACATTTCAATGTTATAACAGTGAAAATCTGTAGTGATTTTCATTTTATTAGATTCAAACCCAATAACTTTTAGATACCACATAAATGCTCCTCCAAATGAGCAAGTGGTTTAAATCTGCTTGCAACTGCTAACAAGACACTTTTTATAACAACTTGAACTACCACACCTATACTTATAAAATCTAAATAAATGATTTTGAGATTTCAATACTCACCACCGGTTGAGGAGATGGACCAACAATTGAAAGAGGTAGAGTATCAATATTTATCCAAAATGTCTTGAAGTCTTTCAGTACTGTACCTCTGAATACAAAGGAAAAATAATAATGTGTCTTATTGATATCCTTAATACTTCTGTTCAATTTCACCTTCCTATGCCATACCATTTGTGAGATATGATGCCTGAATAGTGACACTTTTTTTTATAATCATCCTGTACACAGTAATGTAGGATACAATACAGCTATACCATGAAACAATAAATAACCTCCTTGACCAAATCGGTATATAACTTTGACCTGATTTATCGGTTCTTAATTAGAACCCCCCCAAAAAAATAAATAAATTTGTATTTGTGAAAGCTATAGGAAAGTGAGATATGTAGTATCTGCATATTACAACCCCTTGTCTTTTATCTTCAAGCCTTTTTGCCTTCAAGCCAATTTTAACCCATTGACTATAGCTGCTGTAAATGTGTTTGAAATTTTAGGAAGCTGTACACCGTATATGACATGCTTGCATTCAACTGCCACAGGAGAACTGTACCTTGTACAGCAAATCAGCAGTCATTGAGTTAATTTTAATTTAAGAGACAATATGAATTTAAAACATTATTAAGGAAAAATCACATTAAAAACTGTAGCCCTCGATTGGAATTAGTGTTACACCATAAAACAAATAGGAATGTGTAGAAGGAGGGGCAATCAACCCCCCAAAAAGATAAGAAGAACCTGATAATAAAGTACCAGATGTATACTTCACTGTTTTGGCTGTAAAACTACAGTACAATCTAGTGTCATGCTACATATTATTGGATTTTAACTTTAAGAAAATCCAAGAGCTTCCAGGGATCTCCATAGAACCTTCCCCCTCCCCCATACATGGGAACAGCACAGTTGCATAACATATTAATTCAACAAACAGACTACATGCATATGAAACCCACAGACATGACAAACAACCACAACTAACACAAAAGACAGCTAAATAAACTAAACTAAACATAACAAACATAAATAAAAGTAAAAACCCTTCAAGAAGTAAAAAAAAAATTCACAAAACTCGCAAAATGATCTCTTGATTGAATATAATACATAGAGAAAAAGTAATAATGAAAATAAAATAAGTTGGGAAAGTGTGAAACAATGAGACTCAGAGCATAAGGAAATCTTATAACTGTGGTATATCAAAGGGAAAAATAATGTGTAGTCATCAATAAAATTCAGTTAGGAGAAAGAAATAAAATAAAATCATCTATATGTATGTATATATATTATAAAAATCTATGTGTCTGTCTGTGTGGCATTTATCTAACTACTCCTAGGTCGCTGGACCATTCTCAAACAAACTTTGTGGGATGAAAGGGGCATGTTAATTGGGCATTGCAACCCCTCCACCCCCATTACTGCTGTTATTGAGCATATATTATCTTTGACATAAGTTAACGTTAACTACATTCACAGATGGCGCCACCAGGAAATAATTATTAAATTTTATATAATACAACATGCACACAGTGTGGAGGGGTGCAACAACAAAAAATGGCCACTATTACTGTAATATTACATAAACTCAGCTGAAGTTTCTACTCAGCCACCATAAAGCTGATCTAAAGAGCATTTTATTTAGACATACCAACTTCCTACTTTGACCCGTGAGCTTTCAACTTCAGCCCATAAGACACCTCTGTGGCCAATGATCATCTACTAATTAATCATGTGAAACACTGTGGTAGGACATTAAGAGCACTCCTACTACCACTACTTTGTCCATTACCTCTTCCTACAAAGTCACCCTGACCATTGCACAGTGTACACCATGTTTTAAGTATATACATATTGAGTTCTTAAAGCTCATACAGAACTTTTGGTGAGATAATAAGATTTGTGTTATCATAGCATTCACCCACACATTTTTTTTTAGTTCATAACTCAAACAAAATACAGGTACCTCAGCTTGTAGGTAATAAAATTGGACTAATGTAACACATGACACAAATTGAATTAACTTTAAAAGTACATACACAAACACCCTTTGCAATAGTCAACTATAACATTAAAGAAAAAATATATCAGCACATAATCAGAAAGAAACGCCTTTTAATAGTACAAAAATGAAATAAAGATTGCAGAAATAATCTTTCACACAAGGAAAGAAGGAACCAATGTATACATGCTTACAAAACTCAGATTCACATATTAAAATGGAAATCACTAGGTAAACCTGAACATAAAAAGTAATTAGTTCAAGTATATACTTATATGTGAAACAATTTCTTCAAAAATTGTTTTGTTCACTTAAGAAAAAACTTTCAAAAAAGTTGACATGTGAGATATGCAACAAAATAGGTTACAGATAACACACAGGTGTGTGTGTGTGTGTATAACAGTAAAAGAAGAATGGACATTTATGTACAGATACAGATATACTTACTAAAACACAAAAAATTTACATATTCACATGTTGTGGGACCTCAGGAGTAATGGATGGTGATCTAAGTGGCTCACTGTACAGACTACCCCAAGAAATCTAGGCAGAGCCATAATTAGTTACCCTTTCATGGCAGATTTGAAACAGCATCCCCAAGTTTGGCTAATCTGCATGAGTGATTCTGGATGGAACAGGACAAGGTTCAGTTGTCTTGGTAGGTGGAAAGAAGTTTTAGAACACTGATATAGGTGCTGAGGAACACTCTGCATTCAACATATCTAAGTGAACTAAGGTCCTCTAATCTTACCCTCAAAATAGGTTGGCTTTCTGCCACAAGTTTTACCAGACTGCAGAGTTATCTCTTGAATGGTAGCTCATAATGAGTACAGGATAGAAATCAAAGACACAAACAAACTAACACTTCCATAACAACTAGATCCTAGTTGGTTGAACTAAACTTCTGTCTTAAATGAGGTAACCTGAGGTGTTCCAAATGTGATGGACCAATCATATAGTTATATGATCTTTGCAACAACAAGAAGTTCATAGATTTAGCAGTTGAAAGGACAAGGTTAGTGGTTTGTTACAGGTGGAATGAAATAAACAAAACATAGTGTGAAGTACATCAAAATAAAGAGTTCATCTACAAGATAAATGGACGGTGAAGTGAACAAAAGCCAATCACCTGGTGGAAAAGACTATTGCTTTTTTGGAAGAATAAATTAAATTAAATGTCTGAAATTAAATAAATGAATAAATTGTATTTAAATGATATGACAATAAAAAACTGCCTTTAATAAAAGAAAATGTTTTTTTGTTTGTTATTAAGCACAAAGCTACACAATGGGCTATCTGTGCTCTGCCCACCACCACGGTTATCGAAACCCGGTTTCTTTTCTAGCATTGTAAGTCTGCAGACATACCGCTGTACCACTGGGGGGGGGGGGCAAAAGAAAATGAAATGAAAATAAACTTTGCTTGAAAATAAATTGAAAACTGTTTGATCTGTTAGATAAATGAAAAGGAACATGTATAGTCAGCAGGCTAAACAATCAAAGAAAACATTTATAAGACTTAACAAGTGAGTTCTAGTGTTTCAGTATCATAAATAAATCTCTGAAAAACATGAAAACTGCATTCACAATTCTTATTCCCTCTGTAGCTGACTGATCACCAGTACTATCTAGAGGCATCTCTGCTCCATGTGACAGTCTTAAGCAGTTTCACAAGCACAAGATGATGTAAGATATAATACAAATATTCCATAAACAGAAAGTAACATATAGGGTAACATTAGCCAATGACTTTAAACAAATTTAGTATGCTATAAATTAGAACTCCAGAAAAATGTAAACAATTTTGTAAACACAAAATAAATGCTATAGGAGAGTGGATAGACATATCACTTGATTCAGCTAATGATCACATAGCAGAGTAAGCCATCTCAACTTTACATGGAAAATAAAATCCCAACATTACTTGTCTATCAAAAGCGTGGTATGAGTATTGGTACTTTTTTGTTGAGAACTTCACCCCTGAATTACACTAATATATTTTTTACGTTTTACCTAAATATTACTTCTCCATTGAAGTTGGCAGGAGGCGTCCATGTTGTTGTAAATTCTCTTTTTTCTTTAGTATTTTTGTGAGTCACAGCACTCTGTAACAAACAGAAGTAAATAAATTAGGTTTTATTTCACAGTTGAACAGTACTTGAAACAGTTTCTTAAGTATTTTTTAAATCTGAGTAAATCTTATGGCAGGAAACGGAGTAGACTTTTTAAAAGTTGAAATCAAATATGCTGCAGAGTAATGTATTGTATTTAGTTTTCAGAATTATGTATTCATTTGGCTTAAGCACTTAGGAGTTTGCTCATATAAATTTTGCCCTAGATGTTATTGGAGTTACCAACTACAAAATGAAATTAAGAATAACCAAAAGTTTAGAGATTTAATAGAAATCAGAGGGTTAAGTATGTTATATCAAAATGATTTTGAATGTTTAACTCAACAAATTACATGAAAACCACAACTGGTATAAAGTTGCAGTGGAAACAGCATGTACCAAACCTACATTTTAACACTGTTTGGCATTACATAGTTAGTGTGATACCATTGAAAATTGATCATTTTGCAAGATTGGTGCAAGATATTAATACACTCAGATAATGAAGTTGTGTTTAGATAGGAATTTTAGAATTTCCAAGGTGGAAATGTTTCTTGTACTTAATGGTACTGAAAAACAAAAGTATATGAATCAACTTGGGCCACGAGGACCATCTAGAATGAGACCTGCAACAATTAATATCATAACCCCAAAGTGGCATCTTGTAACAGGTGAGAATCCACAAATACAAAAATATCAGTGGCAAAAGCTGTCCATGTGCTCAACCATTGCATAAATCAAGTAGCTGGAGAAAGAAATGAGTATTCATGGTATTCCATATGAAGACATACCTGTCAAGTTGCCAGATGTAGTGATTATTGATTTCTGTGAGATTGAACTGTTGAAATGGGTAGTAGAAAACTGTTGTTCTCATACATTAGACACTTTGTTGAAAATAGCAGGGCATATTGGTGTGTCTTTAACACAACAACCTTAAGATTAAGCTCTTTGAAACTGAAACTATGCTGCAGGGCTATTTTCAAATGAACAGCCACTGAATAGAGAATGGCCAGATATGGTGACATAGACCATAAAGATGTAATGAGACTCCAAAATGCTTTTATTATAACACACTCAACCTCTGTACAGCATAAATTGCCCATTCAAAAAAGCACATCCAAATGTTTTTGAAAATTTTATCATTTCGTCAAATTTTTGAGATAAAAATTATGGATTATTCAAACTTTTAAACAGTTCACAAGTTTATAAATAACATGTAAAAATAATTAAAGTGACTTAAAATCTGAAATATGGGTTTTTGGTCACTACTCCCACACAAGAAAGTAAAAATGTTGCTGGTTTATCTAAAAAATTTACAGACATTAAGATTTATTAACTGTTGTAAAGATATTTAACTTGTTTATTTATTGGTGAGTAACAATGCTCAAAAGCCTCATCATTATATCCAGTGTTTTATCGTTCATATATTCTAATCAATACGAAACTATATAAAAAAAGCTTGGTATCATTTGATAACTCTAGATAACAATATTGATAACAATAGACGGCCCTTTTGCATATTAATCCTCTTTCTTTAGTCATGAGCATAAAGAAAAGTTAAACAAAAAGTACAAAAGAAACAGACCTTTGCTGCATTGCAATTAATAACACGACTCATATCATCTTCAATAAACGATCCTTCAACGATATGGGATGGATCATCTTTCAAACGAGCTTGTACAAAAAATCCTTTGAATATCTCTCCTTCAGAAGCAAAAATTGTAACTGCAAAAGAAGTTTTGAACAGTTGTACATCAAATGTAATTATGCATAAATACGTATACCTAAATTTAAGTGAATATTAATTTCAAAATTTTATAACTGATCATCGATTCACATTTACTGCTTATAAATATATATATATCTCCTGGAAATGATTTGAAAATTAGTTCTGCTACCAATTTTAAACGAAGAAATAGATTTCCTTGGATGTATTTGTTTTGAAGACAAAGCTATACAACGGGCTATGTGTTCTGTGCCCAATGCGGATATCATAACCATGTTTAATTTTTGTAACATTAATTGAAACTTTCCTAATGAACGCAATACACTGATTATTTTTAAGGAGTTAAACCTTAAAATGTTAAACTGAACATTTATCGACATTTACTTAAATAAATTCAAAACAAACTAAAGATACCTTGTACGACATCTCCGTTTGATCCAGATTTGATCTCGCCTGATAGTGTATATGGTGAAGGAGACTTCTGAGGAGACTCGCCATGTTTCGGAATCATATTTTTACATGCCTGAGGTGGAGCTCCACTTCTTAGTGTTGAACATTTAGGAACGAAACAAGCGGTAGCAATAACACAAATGATAACCACTCTCGAAACACCAACGTTCACCATGATGTAGAAGAAATTATCTATATGTGAAAAACAAAAGACTTAGGACAAGATGGTAGAAAAATACAGTCGTCTGACAACCATTCTTGCGTAATTAAAATAAGTAAAATAAATATTCTCTTCACAAATGTCTTCCACGTTTTTACATACAAATAACAGAAAGAATAGAATTTATATAGTGTCGCCAATATTACAAAAAATCCACTGTGCGAGATATTAACAATAAATCAACCCATGTTGCGAAAAGCTAGACAATGTGACACTGACGAAAGCATTGAAGTCCTTTTTGGAAAATACACGCTGTGCTCCTATTTAGGTCACTCGATATCGTTGGACACCAACTGAAATTACTGTTGTTACTTTATTATGCACAAAACACCGAGTCTCCAATAAGTCAAGAGGAAATGGCAGGGTGCGGTATGTTCGCGAAACACGAAGGACAAATGACTGAGTTTAACTCGGGCTGTTAAATAAATAATAATCGACCAATGAGCATGTTGTAATTTCTATATTATAATAACAACTAAAATTACAGTTATACTTGGTCAATTTACCTAAGAATCACTTTAAACTGAAACAAGCAACATAGAACACTGGTGTCCATTTCAGCTTCATGCACTACCTAATAAAGAGCTTGTCACTAAAGCAGACTTACTATTAAATCTAGTGCACAGTTCTGTAGGCGAACTTACTGAAACACGCTATATAAATATGCCACAAAATAACATATGGATAAAATTAATAACACACAACGTGACTTAATTAGTCGTTCTCTGCACAAATCGCGACTCTGCAGCTTTCAAAAACACATATCTCACAGATCACGACCAAGAAACAGGCTTACGATAGAGTATAGGCGTACCAGGCACTAAGTTCAATCCTGAGAACTGTCTAATCTCTCTTCTCTCATGGTCAGCTAGTCTACCTACACTATTGTACTCACTAATGGTTCTCTATTAATTGACAACGAATATTACCATGTTACGTTCTCAGAAAATCCCCCTCTACATACGTCATCAAGGTATTGTAGTAATCCTTACCAGAAAATGAAATTTAAAGTCTGACATATTTTCTGAACCAATTAAAAACTTTTACACCACTTTCATTAATGTCAAAACTTCGTGCAATGAAAGTCATGAAAAGAAGCTAGTAAGACAAATGCTAATTGTAGTTTTGATAACAGGTTAAATTTCCCATATTTTATTACACCCCACATACGAGATCGTTTACAAAGATTACACCATCATACTATCGTACGTTTTCTCTCCTTATGTTTTTAATTTTTATTATTTATCCAATCTTTTGTCCTACCAAGAATCTACAACTTAAAAACCGAAAGTCTTAACCTTTAAGTCCTGAAAATTGTTTATCTTTTACGCCCACGTGTTCTCAACTTGTTCTTTACAGAGTTGAGTAACAATTTCAATGTAGATCAAGGGCGTTGTTTAATCTAGATTTGGCAAGTTCTGTTACCTGTTTTACGAAACTAACAAAAACTGAAATATTTCTTTCCTTATTCTAACAAGCCATTTCCAATTAATCCTCGACTAAAGCGGCATAACACTATATAGCGAGTATTATATAGCACGGCTGTTTCTATTCTATTCAAATTACTGACCAACGCCACCTTTTGGTAACGACAATGCGTGGAAATTGCGAGTAGATCAAGAGACAGATTTCCAAGAAATAAAGCCTTTGAAAGTGTTTCTAGGCCATACAGTTCTTTCTCTTATATCTTATAGAACAGTATCATGAACTTGTCTTGTAGTCAAATTCTCCAGGAAAATAAAAACAACTAGAAAGGCGCTCAAAGACCCCCGTCCCGCAACATATTGAATTTTTGTAGAAACCGACCTAAAATATACACCAAACAATTACTCAACCTGAAAAATGAAGGTCGATGTGCCAAGATGTCAATTCTATGTCAATTCTTTTCTCGAGTTTTGACGTTTTTTTTTATTATTATTTCACAATACCAATTTGCTACCATTATAGCGAAAGTGGTTGACCTTTCAGATAATCAAGTGGTCCTTCGGGGTCATCAACCTTTTAAACATATTTGATCAAAATCAGATGAAACTTTCCGAGTTATGTAGTTCGCGCGCGCATATATACACACGAGTGGAAAATCGTTGAGTTACGCAGATCACGCGTGCGCACATGCACACACATATACGAGTGAAACAATATATCCGCTCGCCGTCGGGCGGAAATAAATGTAATTACAATGGCTCCGTAACGTCAAACTTATTCCAATTCACAACTGAACATTAATATAATAATTATTTTAAAACATCTAACAGAAAGTCGTGAATCGGTGGTTTTTAAAATACAAGTCATGATTCGGTGAATAATATTAAATTGTAAATAGATTCATGAAACGGGAAACATATTGTTACGACAGCGGAAGTCGCGCGACGCTTGGAGCATGCGCTGGAGTTCTAGAAAGATCGTGACTGTTCCTCGCAACTCTAGGCTTTTCTAGGCATGCTATGTTCTCGTATATAAGCCGGCAAATAAAGTGACGGTGGAGAGATAAATTGCAGACAGAGAAATATAGAGATAGATAATCGAGTCAAGCCGTAAGTAAAATACATGAATCATTGTGAATTCTAGCGTGTGTTTAAGTGAAAGTGACTGTGGAAATTAAGTGTATTACAAAGTTGTATTGAGAAAGAATAAACTAGTTTTATTTAAGAAAGGGCTTGTATCGCTGAAGTTTTTCGGAAAGAATTTCTACGGAAAATTAACAAACGACCAGAGACGTAGCAATATATTGGTTAATGATGAACACAGCTACAGAAGTAACGAATAACATGTTTATTGAACGTTTCGGAATACACAATTTCTTTATTCGGCAAAATCCTACAACAAATGTAAAACAGTAATTACATATAACAACACGAATGTTGAATGTGTGTAAAAGCCAGTAAATGAACTTGGATTAGAGACCCACGATAAATAAATATGTACTTATACAGCTGATAAGAAGTAATTCAAACAAACTTAACGCAGAAGAAGTTATAATTTAAATAAGAGAGCTGTTGTTTAATAGAAAGACTTTTTACTTTAAGTTCCAAATATTTCTTCTGACGAAATCTCTACTTTAAAAGAACTTGCAAATAATGCCGATATTATTGTTCCCGACCTGACAAAGGTAATATTGTTGTCCTGTTGGACAGAAAAGATTACATAAACAAGATAAACTTATCTTATTTGACTCCACCAAATTTAGCCTACATAACATAAACGTTCTTAGCCTTACTTTAACGAGAGGAAAAGGCTCAATGCACCCATTAAAAATTAAAAAGTCAAACACTATCTCTCAAACTACTTTTGATCAAATTTAGTAAGCCTATGGCTTCCGACTCGATATATTGTACGATTTTCTTAGGGTAAACAAATTGGATCCGCCACTCAAACCTATACTTTTTATTCTCCGCACATATTCCTGTAACTAAAGATCTAATCCCATTGTTACAATCACTTACAACCAACAACGTTATAGTAACGACGCGTTATTTGTTGTTAATGAGATCAACTCACTCCACGCCCAAGAATATTATTCCCAGCTTTGAAGTAGTTCCTCTTTTTATCAACATTGCCGTTAATGAAACTATCAACATCTGCTTTTCTAATCTTTTAACAAATCAATTACAGCTAGTAAATGGCTTCAATTCCAAAAAAATATAAACAACTCCTCGAACTAGCTATCGGCAACATTCCCGTTTTTATTCAAAAATTGCCTTTTAGACCAAATAGGTGGCGTTGCTATGAGGTCGCCCCCCCCCCCCTCCTCTCAATTGTCAGTTCGAGCAATCACGGCTTGGCAACTGTCCGGTTGAATTTAATTTTAAACCGATCCACTGTAGAATGTATGTTGGTAATACTTTTGTAATATTTCTTTCTAAAGTTCATAAGCCTAAATTTCTAGAATGTATAAACTCATGTCGCCCCAACAAAAATTTTACTTGTGAATCTACAACTAGAACAACCTTAGTTTGCCACTATTAGACATACTTTTAAATTGTGACCCTAACATTTTTTTCTACGTTCACCTACCGACAGCTTTTCCCAACTACAAACGTAACTTGATCACTTGCTTTCTTACTAGAGACTATACATTTGTCCTTCCTAGTTATTTTTCTCTGTGCAACAAATTAAAATTGTACATCTTTCTCTTAAACAAGATGGATACCCCTGACAACGGACTTCAAAAGTTTCAGCTACGAGCTGCACAAATTTGGAACTTCATTCATTAAAGGGACTCTTCTTATTAAACAAAATCTCCCAAGCTAAGAGAATAACTTAGCTTCTGTTGAGTTAGACTTGTTTTAATTTCCTCTTATTAGATGTATATATACACTTACTTATAAGTATACGAATATTTCTGTTCGAAATTCATGTTGTTATTTCTAAATAATGTTTTATATGTACCGTAGGAATTTCCTGAAGATGGAGTGTGTGTATTCCGAAACATTCAATAAATATCATTATTTACATTATTTGTTACTTCTGTAGTTATGTTGTTCATCATCAAATTCTAAACATATGTAAACTGCTTCACTATTGACTAACTTACGGATAAATTCGTATACCCTAACAGCTTACCTTCAAGAAAATTTAAAGTTATAATCTATAACTGACGCACTTGTACTTTTAAGCCTTGAGCCAGATATATTAAATTTCCTTTTTCTTTTAGGTGCCCCCCAGTGGCACAGCGGAATGTCTGCGGACTAACAATGCTAGAATCTGGGTTTCGATACCCGTGGTGGGCAGAGCACAGATAGCCCATTGTGTAGCTTTGTGCTTAATTACAAACAATTTTTTTTTTAGGTTTCAGTGTTAAAGTTTCGTTACAATCTTATATGATCTAATTTCATATTTATCTGTTCTGTAAACCTGTCTATACACTAAGGTAAATTCCCGGATCGTGATTATATTCTTGAAATTAAAATAGGTGTCGTTTTTGTGTTTTTTTGTTGTTGTTGTTGTTTCTTATACACGATCCCTTAAACAG